AAGACTTTACAGTACAAATTCTTTTTCGTTTGTGATGCTTCAAACAAAACAACTCTACTTATTCAATTATTGGTAAAACATTTTTTTAGTTATATCCAATCTTCTATTAATCCTGCAAGTGTTAGGTAGGGTTGCACATAAAATCAGTGTTTTGGTTTGTTACGAAATTTGCGCAAAGCTACACGAGGGTTATCTGCGCTAGCCGTCCCAAATTTAGCAGTGGAAGACTAGAGGGAAGGCAGCTAGTCATCACCACCAACCGTCAACTCTCGGACTACTCTTTTACCAACGAATAGTGGGATTGGCCGTCACATTATAACGCCCCACGGCTGAAAGGGCGAGCATGTTTGGTGAGATGGGGATTCGAATCCGCGACCCGCATATTACGAGTCGAGCGCCCTAACCACCTGGCCATGCTGGGCCATTAGTGTTTTGACATAACTTGCTTACACATGTGAAATACACCTTAGGACATCGAAGGCGAAGAACAGAACTTAATGTAATAATCCAAGTTATATCTAATTCGAATGTGAATTAGATTTAATAATCAACAACTTCAAATCCGTTGTTAAAACATATTTAAAAAAACCGACCTCTACCTTGGTTTCATGATGGCACTATAGACAGCGAGTGGTCACTCGCCTTAATATTATCTAAATATGAGATTAAATATGGATTAAATACGAAGACAATTTAAAGAGTTGATCCCGATATCCATTTTAAGAAAGACGCTCACACACAAACATATAAAACACAAATTATACACGGGTTCTACAGGGTATAGGAAAAATATTATTTGGATAATCAAATTAGGCTTTATATGAAAGTTTGGTAAGATACATTAATACTAAGTAAAGAGAAACATTGCTGATATTGAAAACTGAAAGAAAGGAAAAATCTTTCTTTGTCACGCTTATTGGACTATTACACTGAGCCTCAACATCCTTAATATCATAATATCATTCCTTATGCACCGATTTGTATAAGATCTGCCTTTTAATTACCTAATATAAGGCTAGGACCAGAATCGGGTAAATCATGCTGGTAAGACTTTACAGTACAAATTCTTTTTCGTTTGTGATGCTTCATGGTAGACACTATCAATAAATAAATTTTGATTAAGCATATCTAAAGCATATTTGTTCACGAAAACACACACACATATATAATGTGTATGCGTATTGTACTTACATACATATTTAAAGAATAGATAACATCGTAGTCACTAATTAATTCATTTATTTGGCTTAATAGACACAAAGTTTATAAAGGTGTTTTTTCCATCAGCCACCCAGATTGTGGACTTTGACGAAAAAAAATATATATATGAGGTCCAGTCCAATAAACGACTGGGTCTTACATTTATTTTTATTTTTCACAAAATTCAAATGTTTAGCGATACCAGAAAAAAAAAACGTAATTATTATTTGTACACGTGCGTAGTTAAACTGAATAACTGAACTTTCTAAAGTGTTGAAATATCAGAGAAATATGACACATGGTTATAAAATCAAGGTGATTGGTTGTTTCCAGTCTAATGCTCTCATGTAGACGCCATACTTCTTAGTCTCTTACCGCAGGCGCCTTTCTAATATATTATTCACACACGAGTAAGTTTCTCGCGCTTTAAAAGATCAGTAATTTCAAAGTTCATTTCATGTCGTTTCCAGCTTGGTACTTCTTCAAAAATACAAACATCGAGCGTTTCCTTAATAAGTGTATTTATAAATATACGTTTGTGTATCTTGGTGAACTGATATAATCTTGTGTTTGTTGAGTTTCGCGGAAAGTTACTCTTCGGTGCTAGTTGTCTCTAATTTTGAAATGGTTGACTGGAGAAAAAGCAGCCAGTTAACGCCACCTATCGCCAGCTCTTGGGCTACTTTTTAACAACAAACAGTGAGATTAACAATTACATTATGATGCTATCGCGACTGAAAGAGTGAACATGTTTGGCGGCGAGTTTCGATCCCGCGACCCTTCTTGATTGTGAGGCAAGTGTTCTAACCCCCCCCCCCCGAAAAAAAACAGAACGTATACTTTTTATTTAATGAAAATAATTTGCTTTTAAGATAATAAACATGGCAAATTGATTGACTCAACCTAGTGAGATAAACAAATTCGTGCGTTTAAAGTATCCAAATATGAATAAGCCTGAAACGAACCTAGGAAAATCGTGTAAAGTGAAACAGTCTGACTTACAAAAGAACGTTATAACCGATAATGAAAATTCTGTAGTAGTTCTACAAATGCACTTAACTTTTGGCAATAATTATGTGTTATATAAAATATACCTACATTGATTTTTCAACAAATTTTTACTTTATTGCAACCAGCCATAAAAACATTATCAAAAAAGAAATTGTTTTCTAAATACAGTGTGTAATAATCTAGCGTTCATACTATTGAAAACACGTACTGTATTATACTATATTGACGTGCATGATGGAAAATATAAATGATTGCATTTAGATTATCAAAGAAATCGTTGATTTATTAGATTTGTAATAAACACATAAAATCTTGAAGTAAGAGAATAAGATGATCCTGTGACAATCACATAATTAGAAACCGCTTTTTATCGATTCTCTTGATAGACGTATATTTCCAAACTCATTGAGGGTCGCGGGTTCGAATCCCCGTCCTACCAAACATGCTCGCCCTTTCAGCCGTGGGGGCGTTATAAAGTGACGGTCACTCCCACTATTCGTTGGTGAAAAAAGTAGCCCCAGAGTTGGCGGTGGGTGATGATGACTAGCTGCCTTCCCTCTAGTCTTACACTGCTAAGTTAGGAACGGCTAGCGCAGATAGCCCTCGTGTAGCGCCCCCCAGTGGCACAGCGGTATGTCTACGGACTTACAACGCTAGAATCCGGGTTTCGATACCCGTGGTGGGCAGAGCACAGATAGCCCTTGTGTAGCTTTGTGCAAAACAAAAAACAAACAATACCTCGTGTAGCTTTGCGCGAAATTCAAAAACAAACAAACAAACCAAACTCATTAATCCACGTGTTTACCGATATCAACTATAGACGTAGTTCTAAGAATGTTAATGTCTCGTTAAATTTGATGACGTCTCCAAACTTTAATGTCTCGTTATCATTAACTTACCCAATAACAGAGCAAACTAATAAAAAGTAAATTTAAACGAATATGTCATTTGTACAATACTACTCATGAATAATGGAGAAAATATGTTTAAATCTTTTGAATTGCAACCGTTCAGAAACCCGACTAAAACCTTTGACCCAACAATTCAAAGAGTAAAAAAGGTATCGTTATGGTGGCCATTCTTATGCTTTTTCACTATGAAACTCTTTTCACTCTGTATTGAAATAATATG